TGTTTGAATATTCTTACCGAGTGAATTATGACAATAGATCGATATTGCAGATACAAAATGATATACTAGTGATGATTCCTCGCCACAATTAGGGGAGTTGATTGTTATAGCTACATCTCTTTTGAGTACTCTATTCACTATTGTATTTATTACTATCCCAGAATAATATATATAGGGCCTAGTATGGTCCATCATAAACTTTACACATATTTCTTCAATTGCAAGGTTTCGAAATAATATAATGGACCCCTATATATACTTGGCATTGGTCCATTATATATACTAATTGCTTGGTTTTATTTTGTCAAGCAGTAACAGTTAATAGGGACGGAACTAGCATTAAAATTTGATAAAATTAAATAGTTTTAATGTTGATCGTTAATATAAATAATATAATTTAGTTTTTTTTTATAAAATTTAGTATCCATGGATTCATAATTTTGACTCCATCTCTGTCAGTTGACATGTTCAGCAAAAAAATTGACCACGTCCATGCACTTATACACTCACTATCTGTGATGTAGTTTTCATGATTTGTGTATTTGTTTTACTTTTCTGCCTCTTTTTCAGACCCTTTATGATCTCTATTGAAGTTCATGATGAATTAGTCATACATATATACATCATGCATGGTAAAATATTAAAACTGATCGATAAATTTATGAGTTTTAAGTAGGCGGAACCCATTGGTGGCCTCCTTAAGTTGGCACCAATTTTCATTTAGACACCTTAACTAAGCTTTGTTCATTTTAAACACCTCATTTCATATCCCGCTATGTCATTTTGACACTTTTTGCTGACATGTCATAGAGAGTGTCATACACTCATTACCAATCCGTGAAAGGCTTATTTAATCATTTTTTTTCATCTTCTTTCTCATTTTTCAGCCATCATTGTTGAAGAAGAAGGAAGCTGATGATTGAAACATGTCAAAGGAACAGGTCCAACGAAACATACTGACGAGTTTTCAGCACTGCTGTAGAATTAGAGTCGCACTAGAATTAGACTACTTATATTAATTATGATTATATTACGACTAGGATTGGATTATTTATAATTGCACTATTATTATAGTAGTAATAGGTATTGTAGTAAGACTCTAAATATAGTTAACTTAGAACTCTACAATTCTCTCCCTATATAAGAAGATTGTAACTCAACATTATTTTCATCAATAAAATCCTTGATTTCTCTAATCCTATACTAAGATTTCTACATGGTATCAGAGCATAAAATTTCTTCCGCTCTCTAAGTATTGATAAAAAAAAAAAACCACACGTTGCAATGGCCCCTTCTACCGAAACCATGTCAACCTCCTCACTTCACCAAATCATTGCCGCTTGTCCATTAAATATATGCCAACAAACTACCTCATATGGAGGACACAAATATCCCAATTGATTCAGGTGATGAAACTAACGTATCTCATCTATGAACCAAGTAAAAGTAGTTGTTCCACTGGACAGACTGCTAAAAAAGTTATAAAAGTTAAGAAGGATGCAAAAGATAGTGGCACCATTGATGATTGGAAGGAGAAAGATGCATGTGTTACTAAGGAATTGGCTCTCAAGCACCTTGACCGAAGAAAGCATGCACCTAATTGTGGGCTGCTCAACTGCCAAGGAGATATGGGAATGCTTGGAAAAAGCTTATAATCAAGCAACAAAAATAATTAATTTTGCTAGAGGTTTAAGTCTCAAATATAAGACCTTTGTCATATTAGGTAAGACACCATATTCCACTCTTAATCAATTTGTTTATGCTCTCATGAGTTTTGATATAAGGGAAGATGAAGAAGAGGTGCCACAACAAAACCACAACATGGTATTATTTGCTCAAAAAGGCAGGGAAAGAGGAAACAACAACATTAACTCCAATGAAACAGGTTTCAAACCTGCTAGACAGGGAACAAGTTCTAAGAACAGTCAATATGGACCAGGTTCTCTGAACAATAAAAGTTCTCAAAGTGAAAATAAGGAGAGGAATAATATTGAGTCATGTCAAATCTGTGGTAGGAATAATCATACTGTTCTTAAGTGTTTTTACTGGTGGAACTACTCGTATCAATCTGCAGATGAACTATCACAAGTAACGACTAGACATCACATTCATACTGAAGCATTAATAAAACAAGTTTTTGCTGGGTTTTCAAAGTTTTTTTTTGCTGCGTATTCGAATCAAGCTAGGAGTAACCGTTCCCTCTACTCACTAGCTTGAGGGAAAGTGTTGAAGAAGAAGAAAGCTGACGATTGGAACTTGTCAAAGGAACAGGTCCAACGAAGCTGACTGACGAGTTTCCAGCACTGCTGTAGAATTAGAGTCGCACTAGGATTAGACTACTTATATTAATTAGGATTATATTACGACTAGAATTATATTACGATTAGGATTATATTACGACTAGGATTAGATTATTTATAATTGCATTATTATTATTATTATTATTATTATTATTATTATTATTATTATTATAGTAGTAATAGGTATTGTAATAGGACTCTAAGTATAGTTAATTTAGGACTCTACAATTCTCTCCCTATATAAGGAGATTGTAACTCAACATTATTTTCATCAATACAATCCTTGATTTCTCTAATCCTAGACGTGAGATTTCTACAATCATCTCCCTAAACTTAAACTCCTTTTATGGAGAAATAAATTTGATAATGCTACAGACAAAAAAATAAATTTGAACCCATTGGAGTTATAATATAATGATATAATAAAAATTAAAAGAAGACAATGTGAAGACCCCTGCAATAGTAAAGAAGAAGAAAAATGGAAAGTCATGAATTCATGAATAATCTCAAATTAGATTTGAGTAGTGGTATGTGTGGGTTTGTTATTCTATTCGAGAAGATGATGTGGGTGAGGAAGGGGTTGGGGTTAGGGTGGGTAGAGGTGGAGAAGACGCTGGGTGGGTGGGGGAAGAGTGGAGAAAACGCAAGGGTTGGGGTGGGGGGGGGGGTGGAGAAGATGATCTGGGTGGGGTTAGGTTATTTTATTTTTAAAGTTTTTTGGGCAAAAATTCCACATGTCATTCACTCATTGGTCACTTTTTTTTTTTGTACTAAAAATTATTATTTAAGAATTATTTTTTATATATATGCCACATGTCTTTATTTAATTCATCATTTTTGACACGTTATTGACGAGTGTATTACAAACACTTTATGTATTTGACTGATAATTAAAAAAGTGTCAAAATGACACAATGGACCATGACATGAGATGTCTAAAATGAACAAAAGTGAAAGTTGGTGCCTACTTTAAGGGGCTACCGATGGGTTCAGCCTTTTAAGTAATATAACCTGAACAATTTTCGCATCATCATGTCATTTTCATCTATTATAATAAATAACATATTTTATTTTTAAGATTTAAATCTCACATTTTAAAAAGACTTAACAAACTTTTCTTCGAGATTTATTAGCTAAAAAAATGTAACGATGTAGATTATCAGCTGCACATAAAATGGCCAATCATAAATTTTGTAGGTGTATACTAATTCTTCCCCACCTTTGTCATGTGGTTAAGAGCATTGTCAATAGTGAAGGAAGAGAGCAAACAAGCAAAAATTGATTGTGTGATGCAATCACCAATCACTAAAAAATAACAGAAATTAGCTATAAATTTTATCGCTAAATTACTTATAGTTAACAAAACAAAAAATTGTATCTGCAAACTGACACAAATAATAATTTCAAAAACATAAGAAAAGACATATAATTAGATCTTAAACTAGTGGAATATTATATGTGATTTGCTCAAAAATTTAAAAGCAACCATTTTAAAGTACAAAAATTGAAAATCATCCCAAATAGGAGCATTTGTGAGAATGACCTTCTCATTCTAAAATTAAAGCCCACTTTTTACCTGTGGGCTTGGTTTGATATTCTAAGAGTAGAAGCTTAGCAGGTCCATTGTTAAATGATTATAGGCCCATGATTTTGTTTCTTGCTGAGTTGGGGGTACAAATATAGATGAATTCCCATTATGGCAGTGTAAAAAATAATATATAATGAGAAAAAATCATAAATTAATATAATTTAGAGCATAATTATCACATGTAGCTATAGTTTGTATACTTACGAAACGTAAGTATAGTCATTGCATTAGACGGAAGAGTTGTATCAGGAATATCAATTGTATTCAGACAACAGATATCAACTCTATCAGTAAAAGAATTGTATTTAGATAACATATATCAACTGTATCAACGCATATTGTATCAGCTGAAAATTGATGAAGATAAATCAACACGCGTGTGTATTGTATATTTTCTACAAGATCCAAAATATAGCTACATTTGGTAATCTTTTGAAATTATTGTTATGTATTGTAAATAAAATCTAAATGCGTAATTTTAGAATGAATCTAAGCAAAATTAACTGGTTTACGAATACAAAGATAAAATGTTTTTTTTTCTTAAATCTTTCATTCTTCCACTACCTCTAATTACCTGTATTGCACATAGTTTCATTCATCTTATGCTTTTCTTCAAATTACGGTAAGATTTCCCTTAATTATTTTAATTTTACGTTCAGATATTTTTATTTAATTATCAATTTTTTTTTAATTATAGGATAATTATAATAGTAATATTTTCCATATTAGCGTCTTGCATCCTCTATGAATTTAGAGTGAGTTAAGAATTGAGATGATTTTAAACAATTTAGTACGGTGAGAATTAATTTGAACCAATTATAAATAATTAAGCCTCGGTCTCAAATAAATTGGATCAGCCATATGAATCTCAACTTTATTTAAACTCTCAGCATCATCATACTAACTATATATATATATATATATAAGTGAAAAATAATTAAAATAAAAAATATTAATAATATAGAAGAACAATAATGAAAAAAAAAACCCCTTTATTATGAGTAGCTACTACTAGCTATTACATAAGCATGCTTAATCCATTACTCAATAACTTAATGTTGATGTATCTCCTGATCAACAATTCAACTGAATTCATTATTTTTTCTAACACGAAAGATAAAAATATACTATCAAATATATTATTTGAAAAAAAATGTTCTAGATTTCTTGGCTCCCTTCTTAGGAACAGTGACAACAAGCACTCCATTTTCCATTGATGATTTCACTTTATCAACCTTAGCATCCTCAGGCAAATTAAAAGCAGTAAAATAATTCCCATTTCTTCTCTGAAAATGGTGCCAATTATCATATTCTTTTTGTACTATTTTTTTCTCCCCACTTATCTTTAGGACTTTATTATTTTCCACTTGTACCTTCACTTCTTCTTTTTTGTATCCATGCAAATTAGCCTTAAAAATATGTGCCTCTTGAGTTGCTTTGTACTCAATTTGTGCTATAGATTGAGGTTCACGTGGGAATGATAGTGATGGTGCTATGAGTGATCTAGGGGTTTGAAGGTAAAATTCACGTGAGGGACCGTCCTGACGACCTCGATTTGTTTGAGATTGATGCTTAATTTTTGTTACAGGTGAAACATGAGGATCTTGTCGATGATTCTCGTCATCTGTTTGGAATTGATGCGTAATTATTGTTGATGGTGGTGGTGGAGGATCTTGTACACGGCGCACATGATTATTGCGGCCGTTAAATAGAGCTATTAAAGGCATTTTTGTTGTTAAATTTTGAAAAAAAAGGAAAATTAAGTTAATCGTATAGGAAGAGAATAAAATGTGTGATAGAAGGAGTTATGTATTTATAGGGAGAGTTTCAAAGATGGGAATCTTCTATTGACGTGTATTTGAGATGTTATAATTCATTGAACATTTCGATTAATTTGCAACAATATTAATAGTGTAAAAAGTATTTACTTAATCATGTTATTTTATATAATAATTACACAATTTTTTTTTGAGATAATTAATGGTGAAAAGTATCTTTAGACTAATATCAGTTATTTTCCTTTCATATTTGAACTATATATTTCACCAGTAAATATATTAAAACATACATAGTTGAGTAGATGGTGATTGTTTAGATAGGAAAATAGAGCAATTCATAGTTGATCTAGTCAGCTTCGAAATGTGTTTTTTGTAGTTCAGATAAAAAAAAGAACATTTAATAGTTAAAATGTGTAATTCACAACAAAGTGATATTTTCTTTTTGACTGTTAACTATAAATGTTAACTTGATAAACATCAATTAGTAATTTTATAAATATAATAAATAATATATTGTAAATAAGTTAAATCAAACTGATAATATAAAATAATTTTGCACTATTAAGGGTACAAATGAAAGAGAACAAATTCTTAGGATTGTGACTTCAAGCTAGCTGATCTTTTTGTGACATTCGGACACTTGGAGCATTCTCATTGAGTCATATTTTTATATGAATGAACTACCTTTATTCTCATGATGCAAATGGAGAATACATGTAAAAAGAGGCTACCTACCTAAGTTTTTTTTATTTGATATTCGATATTTGTGTTGGAGTTCAACTAATTTAGATTTATATATTATAAGACTCATTTATGAAGACCAACTGCTCTTAACTTATTTCTTTTTCATTCTCACAGCTCGAACTCAAGATCTTTAATTAATAATATGAGATTTTAACTATTCGATCACAATCTAGATGCTACCTACCTAAGTTGTTGTACGGTGTAACATGTCAATCACTTCTATCTGTCCACGGAATATTAGAAAATGAGAGCAACCAAAGCAGGGAAATAAATATAAGCTACTTAGATATAAAATTATTCTATGTCGTTCTATAAAATTCCAAATTATTTTCAAACTCACTACTATTCTAACTTGAATTTAACTAATTGGAACTGAAAATATAAATATATTCTAACTCGAATTTAACTAATTGGAACTGAAAATATAAATAAATTTTACACAATTATAATTTAACCTAATGAAGGAGGTTGAATTTTATGTTTTCAGACAACTAATTCTATTTACTATATATTATACGTAACCTTACCTTGCATCTATTTAAAAGGTTTAAAGTATCTTATCAATTCTACAAATTCATAAGCCATGGTTATTTACACTTACCAAAGAGACAAGAATATGGTCTGACATCACTAATGCAAAAATGGAAATATTGAGTACAATAAGAAGAAACTAAGGGTGTGTTTGGTATGAAGGAAAATATTTTCCGAAAAATGTTTTTCAATTTTCTCATGTTTGGTTGGGTAAAATGTTTTCCAAATCAACTCATTTTCCTCAAATTAAAGGAAAATGACTTCCCTTCAAAACTTAAGGACAACATTTTCCAAAACTTTCCTCCAACTTCAAATTACAATTTTATTGTTGAAAAAATAAATTTAAAGCTTATTTTAAAAAAATATTTTTCAACTTCAATTTTTTTATTTTTTTACCCACCCTCACCCCGACACCCCTCCCGCCAGCCCCTACCCACCCCCACCCCACCCACCCCCCAAAAAAAAAATCAAGTTTATTTTTTTAAAAATATTTTCAATTTCAATTAAAAATTATTTTCTACTCTCTAGTAAAAAAAAAAGAGATATTTTCTCAAAAAGAATTTTCATTCATAAATCAAACACTAAAAAATCTTTTCGGAAAATATTTTCTACTTACCAATCAAACATGAGAAAATAAGTCAAAAATCTACACATTTTCTAGGAAAACATTTTTCTTCGTACCAAACACACCCTAAAGCTTAAAAAAGAAAAATTAGAGGTACAACAAAAAGATAAAAATCTCAATAATGAAAAAGCAATGGAACAATCGATACTATATTTATTATTCATTTATTCTTCCTAGCTCACTCTATCTACCAAAAGAACATAATCAACTCGTATGGCCTATATATTATCTAGTACATTTTTGAGGTTAGATTCGAAGTACGATGATCAAAATATTATATGTTTGCATCAATATATGATAGATGTCATAAGTTTTCGTCAATAAAAAATATATATTTGAAAATTGTATAAAAGTATATTAAACGTCATGATATGATAGCAGCTAAAAGAATTTAAAAATAATTAAGAACAATGTGATCAAAGAATTAAAACATCATCGACTCCTCAAATAGTAACATCGCACTACAAAAGGAACCCCAGTTACCAACAAAAAAATTTGTTGGTAAATTGATCAAATTGGTTGGCAAATTGAGTTACCAACCAAATGCCAACTTATATTAATCCGTTGCTAAAAAGCTCGTCAGTAAATATTACTAACCGATTTTAATTTGTTGGTAAACTTACCAACCAAAAATCAGTTGATAAACACCCAAAGATGTCGTTACAAAATTTTGAAGCATGGCCTTGAAATTTCCGTTGGTAAATTCACCAACTAATTTTTGGTTAGTATATCGTTAGTACCTTTACAAACGAATTGAAAAGGAGTTGGTAAATTTTTTTCTTCATTATTCGATTCCATTGGTTGGTAATTTACCAATAAATGTTAAATACTTTTTTTTGGTTTCCCATTCGGTGTCCGGTATCCACACCGGAGCCCGACTAAATCCGGATTCACACCGATAAGTCCCACGCTCCCTAACAAAGGCGACTCCGTACTCAAGGGGCATCAAACTTGAGACCTCTTGGTTAAGGATGAAGGAGTACTTACCACTCCACCACAACCCTTGTTGGTAATAAATTTTAAATACATTAGTATGATTATTTGTTTTTCTAATAAATTTACTAATTGACTGTTAGTTTGTTGGTAGTATATCATTCAAGTTCAATGTTAGGTTAGTAATTGATTGACAATATGTTCAAAATATCATTAACTGAATGATTATTCAATAGTAAAATATTTATTAATTTATTGCATTTAAAAATCTAAGAGCACGAATATAAATCCAAAAATATTAATATCAATTTTATAAATCATATTTGAATGAAACAATGTAAAATCTATGATAACAAGTTAAATTAATCTCAATATGACACATATCATTATATCAAAAATTTTAATTTGAGCACGTTTATAAAAAATATTGACCAACTCTAAATTTTGGCCAAACTTTAAAAGTTAAAACGCCTAACAACACAAACTGAAAATGGAAGCCTCAAAACTTGAACCAACCATCCCATTAGATATAAAAATGACCTTTCAAAGCTAATCGCGTTGATGGAATTCTCATCAGAGCATGTTTACAAAAAATGTTAAGCAAAGTCAAATTTTGGCCAAAAGTTAAAAGTTAAAACCCCTAACGGTACAATCTGAATATGAAAACCTCAAAATCCAAACCAACCATCCTATAAGACAAAAAATGACATTCCAGAGCTAACCGCGCTGACGAAATTCAAATTTGAGCATGTTTCCCAAAAAAATTCACCTAATTCAAATTTTAGCCAAAAGTTAAAAGTTAAAACGCTTAACGACACAAACTGAAAAAAAAAGTCTCAAAATCCGAATGAACCATCCTATGAGACCAAAGCTAAACTTATATGGCTAACCGCGGTGACAAAACTTCAATTCGAGCACGATTACCAAAAATATTGACTAAAGTGAAATTTTGGCCAAAACATAAAAGTTAAAATGCCTAATGACACAAACTAAAAATGGAAGCCTCAAAACCCGAACCCTTTATCTTATTACATCAAAAATAACCTTCAGCATCTAACTGCACTTACGAAATTCTCATTTGAACACGTTTATCAAATATATTGACATAAGTTAATTTTGACCAAAATTTATAAGTTAAAACACCTAACGGCACACACTAAAAATGAAAGCCTCAAAACCCAAACCAACCATCCTATTGGATAAAAAAATTACCTTTGGAGTTAATTACGCTGACAGAATTTTCATCTGAGCACGTTCACAAAAATATTGACCAAAGTCAAATTTTGGCCAAAACAAAAGATTTAAAATACCTAACAGCACAAACAAAAAACGGAAGCCTCAAAACTTGAACCAACCTTCCTGTTAGATAAAAAATGATCTTTCGAAGCTAATGACACTGACAAAGTTCTACTCTGAGCACGTTTACCAAAAATATCGATCAAAGGCAAATTTTGGCTAAAATTTTAAAGTTAAAACGCCTAACGATACAAACTGAATATGAAAGCCTCAACACTAGACGTTGATTTACCACTTCAATTGATAAATTTACCAACTATTCAAATAAAAGTTATAATTAATAATTTATCAATAAATTTTATCACAGTTGGTAATAGTTACTATTCAACTAAACATTCATATGTAATATTACCAACTAATAATTAATATGTTGGTAAATTTTACTGTCACGACCCAAAAATGGACGTGATGGCACTCGCCTTATCCCACCAAGACAAGTCAGCCTAAAACTCAACCATTACAATAAAATGCGGAAATTTTATAATCAACTCAAATATACCCCAAAAATCTGGTTGTCACGTGTACAAGCCTCTAAAGTATTACAATTGATTCAAAAGAAAACACAACTCTAATATGACATTGTTTCTAGAGTAGAACAAGATCATAAACTGGAGTAAGAAGGATCACTGAGAAGACAAACAACTACCTCACAAATCTCCCAGAAGCCTTGGAAAAGAAGAGAATAACAAGTACCACAAAAATCCAGGCTCGTAACCTACAAAAATTTGTAGAAGCAAGGGGTGAGTACCAAACCACACGGTACTCAACAAGTAAACCTCTAAACACGAGCTAAGGGGATAGAATACAAGTACTCCTTACA